GTTTTTTTTTTTATGTGTGGAAGAAGAGATGCAATTTGAAGGATTACCATTTCTTTCCCTTCTGGTTTTGTGGTATGTAGAGTGATGTCAGAAGACTGTACATGCTTTGAGGAGGGTCTGAGGATGTTGGGAGTTTCTCTACTTTATAATGAGGACAATAAGGAAGATGGTGACAACATCAAAGAATGAGGTTAACAGCGTAAAATTGAATGTGGAGAAGGAAGAGAAGGGCAGAAGAGTATTGAAAGAAGACTGCAGACAAGACACAGAGGGGATTATTGGCATGAATTTGATGTGAAACTGTGATCAAGAATTTATTGTGCTGAGCCTCAGTGTTTCAAGCAGGTGTCAGAGTTGCAGTTTGTGAGTAAAGGTGGTAAGACCCAGTGATGGTGAAGCTACCTCCCTACTGTGACAGATGGTGGTCATGGAAACAATGATGCTGGTAGTCTTTGACTGTGCCTAGACATACATACAGAGTATTAATGGGAAGTAGGGAGCTGAGAAATTTCAGGCAAACAGGATTAATTAACTTCATGTTTTAGAAGTTTGAAGCTGCACCAGTTTTAGGTAACCAAAGGATTAAATAAATCTCTAGATGGAGGCTGCTATGGACTCGATTATTCCAAATCCTTTCTTTGTTAAAAAATGTTGAAAGCATTCATATTTATGTTGGAAAATTAACTCGAAAAATTTGGCAGATCTTTCTATAAAGGCAATAATGACTAACTGCTTAGCATCAGCCCAAATAGGAGACTTCGAATTTTCCACTTGAATCCTTCCTTTAAGGCAGCCACAAGTGCCAGTGTGCATCATGTAGGAAACCTTAAGCAAGGTATTCAGATTATGAAGCAAGGGATACATCAAACATTGCACACCTAACAATGTAAAAAGCATATGTTAAACATTTTTGTTCTAGCAAGTCCTTTGGCCACCTGGGGGAATCATTTTTCTTTTTGATATTATTTTTTATTATACAAAGTAATGGGTTCATTATGACATTTGCACACATGCATAGAATGTATTTTGATCACTCTCTCTTGTCCCCCCCCCCCCACACTCTTGTTGGTTCCCTTCCTCTTCTCTCACTGGAAACTTGAAGGGTTTTTCCACACTTCTGCTTTCTTAATACTCCTTTCCTTTATCTTTTAATTTTCCTCATTCTTTTGTCAAGTTCCACACCTGCCCCCAGCACACAATCCAATGAAAATAAAATCAAAGTAAAACAAGCAAACTTTTTTTTCCATGGAAAATAATTTTGTTCTCTGTTTTTATTTCAGACAAAATTTCTCTCTTATTCCTAATAATTTATCAAAATTGTTTGTTAAAGAACAGTTCTTTTTTGAAAAGACTATTGGTACCACCACTTAGAAACTACATAAATAAGACATCTATTAAATTTGCTTTTGGATTTTACAAAAACTAATACCATAGAGCTGGGACATAGCTCAGTGGTAGAGAGCTTGTCTAGCATGCATGAGGCTCTGGGTTTCATCCTCAGCAGAGAGGAAAAGAAAAGAAAGGGAAGAGAATGGAAGGGAAAGGAAAGAAAAGAGGGAAAGAGAAGAAAAGAAGGAAAGGAAAGAAAAAAAAGAAAGGAAAAGACCAAAGATTTTAGCCTGGTAGATTGTCTGAACTAAAATCCCTTTGTCAATATATATGAAAAGACACACTTTTCACGTAGCATCAAATTAATAAATATAAGGCAGATTAAAAACATATGGCAAGTTGGCATATTCTGTTTTCTGAGAAAATTCATTGAATATTTTTTCACTGATACATAGCACCTAGTGTGTGCTATGCCTTAGGGAAATTGATAGCCTACAAGTGGAAAACCCAGGGGACACATAAGAACAAATATGTAGCTTCCTAAGGCAAGTTCAGTAATGGTGAGACTGGCATTTTCAATGAGTTGTGATCGAACGGAATATAGCAAAGTGGTTCTTTCAGTTCATTCAACCAAAACATGCTCTTCAGCGCTCTCATTTGTGTTATATATGTTTAATGAGCTGAGGTAACTTCAAAGTTGGTTTTACCTGATATTTTTAGGATCACTAAATGGTGGTTTTTTTTTCTTTATTTGGCAACTTAGTTCTTCAACTTTGTGGAATCAAATGTTTTAACCTATACATTTAAAAAATCACATTTAAAGTTTTATAGTAATTCATCAGACAGGAATCCATAGAGGTTTCCCTTTTCACTGATGTCAAATCAAAATTTTGTCTTTGGAAAAGAATGTTTTTTTTTTGTGGTAGTGGGATTTGAACTCAAGACTTCTTGCTTGTTAGGCAGATGCTCTACCGATTGAGTCACATCTTCAGCTCTGGACAAATTATTCTTCACTGTCCAGAATATAGCTCTCTGACCACACCACCAATCTACCACAAGGCTTAAATGAAGTACAGTATCTTTAGAAGTATATCTAAAATCTAACTAAATCCTTATTCTGAGTTACTTAGCTTTCTTATAACATTTTTCTCTGGCTAAGTAAATTGTATCACAGTCATGTACAGTTATACACAGTACTTCTCTTCTGATTAGAAAATTTACCAAATCTTTTTTTTTTCAGTTTTATTTTTAGCCACTTGTCCCAGTGATATAGCAAACACCTTGAAGTTATCCACCCTTCAGCCTTCATTTTGACCACTATAGACTTCAGGCATGTGCTAGGGACTGTAAATGAGGAAAGATGTACTCCTGATTTCATTTAAGTAATTCAATTCAAATCATTCTTTCATTCAACAAATATTTATTAAGCACCTACAATATGCCAGGCACTGTGCTGGGTGCTGGGGATACAACTGTGAACAAGATAGACACAGTCCCTGCCCTCAAGGAGCTTACAGTCTAGTAGTTTTACAGACAAGTACATAGGCAATTACAATGCAGGATGGTGAGTGCTGTGAAGGGGAAGAAACATTTTTTAAGAAGGGCACCTAACTCTGTCTCATTGGCAAGGGGTGGTGGGTAGTCATGGAAATCCTCCCAGGGCAAGTAAAATTTAATTTGAATGCTGAAGGATGAATTTAAGTTAGCCAGGTAAAGAGGAGAGACCCGGAAAAGTTAAGAGAGTGAAGAAGTAGTCTATGTGCTGTTTCATTTGCTGGCGGGGAGGAAGTTCTTTAGGAGTGGGAAAAGACCTTAAAGAGATAAGCAAAAATGACCTCACAAAAACACTCATTAGCTCTGCTCAAGAACTTCAAATTTTTTCTGAGGAAACAGTGCATACAATGTGTTATCAGATGTAGGTTTTTTTTTTTTTTTTTTTTTTTAAGATTGTTCTTACTGCAGCACAGGCATTGAACAGAGGATGGAGATCTTAAGAAAAGAGGGAAAGAAATCAATCTTTCATATTTTCCAACTTAGCTTCCAAATATCACAACCTGTACTCTTACCAGCCCCTCTGGTCATGCTTTTCTTAAACAAGCCATTGACATGAATGGTTTTGGGTACCACTCACCCACAAGGTTCATAACACCTTCTCCTACTATAAAAATTGAAATCACCCTTCACACAAGACTTTAGGCATCATCCTAACTTGTGCTTTCTGCCAAGATCCCTAAGTAAGTGTTTTTATCTCTATTATAGTACTTACTCATTATTTCAAAGGAACCAAACCTTCTTTTGAACCATGTTAATTTAATCCATACGTAACAAAGTAATTTCTACAAATAAATATGGGTATAATTTTCTTTATAATTTCCAAGTGAAAATAAGGACTAATTCCTTATTTGTGGAGAAGGCCAAGAGACAATTTTATGCAGCAAAATACAGTGAAATAAAATTTCAGTTACAGTGTATGTTGCTGTTAGGATAATGATATTCCAGACTCAAAAACTCCATTTTTGACAATTTAACCAGCTAACAAGTCAAAGATCTGTAAAAGAAGGGTAGATTAGTATGCAAAAATAATAAGGGCTAGCTACGTTTTCCAATATAGCCCACCAGTTGACTTCTACAATCTGTCATATAGTCTAATAATTTCTCAAATAACTTTCATAATAATAGGAAAAAAACTTTTAAGCTCTGCAGGAATTGTAAGAACATCTGTTGTTTTATTCTTTTCGGTGGGTACAAAAACCACGATTTTGTACACAGAACAAGATTATAAATAATATTGATAACATGAACAACCTGTAGTCTCTTCTGATTCTATATTGCAGACTGATGATTGACGTCAACATTTTCTTCACTTTTTGCTCCTAGTAGTGAAACAAATGCAATCTGTGAACTGACTTGTGTGACAGAGTGAAGGTTATAGCAAACAAGGTGACCAACAATTTTATAAAAAAAAAGTCTCTAAAGTTTATTACAGTGATGGCATTTATATCAATTATTGCAATGTACTGTTCCCTAAGATGGTTAGAAAAAAGAATTGTGTTGTCCTCTACTGAATTTACATCAGTTAAAAAGCAAGCACGTTTCAGTATTTGTTTTCTCCAAAGTAAGTGTAAATACTTCCTTTAATTTTTTTCACAGGATTTACATGTTTTTTTAAATTATGTTCTTATCACAGTTTAGAGATTTGTTTTCTCATCTGAAGATTCTCCCATTGACTACATGGGTGTTCTGGAGACACGGGTTAGCAGGTCATTGACTTCTATGACTAGTTTGTCCCTTTGCGTGATGACCAAGGCCTTTCTCAGCAAGAACGTCAGTTTCATGCGCTAAACTGGCAAGTCTGATTAGTTTTTAAGTCCACTCGAGTGAAATTTGTTGTTGTTAATACACCCATCCCAGCTGCCCCCCACCCACTCCTCAAAAAAAAAAAAAAAACAACAAAAAACCTAGATTGTGAGTTTTCCTGATATAAAATCTGAGTTTGGGTTTCCGAGCTGAGCTCATGCACACGTCGCTGAGGCCGAGGTCCCCGCGCCCAGGATGCGCTCCATCCCGCTGCGCTCCATCCCGCTGCGCTCGGCCAAAGCACTGGTTCAGGGAAGACCACGCGGCGTGTCCCTCGGGGCTGGGGCTGTGTTCCCATCAGTCACCAACACAGTTTAATTAAGGCACTCAATTATTTTTTTGGTTTTTATGGTAGGTCCGATGCAATGACAGCCAATCCTGAACTTTGTCTAATTGCAGTTCCAGTGTGTACAGCCTTTGGGCAGTCGGGCGTCAAGACGCGACCATTTTCTCCCACGCTCCCAGTGATGGATAATCGGGCTTTGTTTCTTATGGCTTCGGAAAAGGTCAGCTGAGTTGCATGGAAAGGAAACAGAGAGAATGCGGAGTGTCATAACACTTTTGTTTCTTCCACAAAATTTGACACGACTAACACCAAAATATCAATGATTAGACATCTGCATTTTTTTCATATTCTTTTGGTCATATGCAAACTGCTTAGTAGGGAAAGAAAGCCCCAACTACACTGAAGAATTCATCAACTTGCAGTTTGTAGTCCTACCTATTATAAAGGAATTCTAAAATCGTAAAATTAGGATTTGCAAATCTGGGCAAGAAATATACTTTAACTGTATAACCTAGTACTTCTAATGGTGTTGTAAAGCTCTCTTATGATTGCTAACATCTTAAAAAACTGTAGTAGTTTCTTGTTAGTCATATTTATAATGCAAGAATTAGACTCATAAAATTATGATCTGTTGCCTAAAAAGCTGACACTGACATCTTACTGTTTGCATAACACAGACCTGCCCACAAACACTTCATTCGCTCACACGAGTTATAGACGTGACTCAGGAACAGCACAATTAGTGACACTTAGTTCACACCATGCCTATGATGAAAGTCAAGGCTCATTTTTAAAGAATTATTCTTAAAGAGGCACCAAAGGGGGTTGTCTTTCAATGCCTAGTGAGTGATTATCAGTGCGATCTTCTCATAGTGACGGTTTGAGGTCAGGTCTCTGAGATCCTCACTACTACTTATCAGGTAGTAGAAAATAACACTACACAGACGAGAGGCGGGCAGGGTTATTGGGTAAATCGAATTTCTGTTCTTTCTCTGCCTCTAAATTCTTTCTAGTGGCTGAATTCAGTATTAACTCAAGAGAAGAAGGTAATGGAGACATTTCCTATGTTTCTTTTAACTCCTATGGTATTTAATTCCCTGTTGTGAGTTTATCTAATTCTCTAAGGAATTCCATCCTTGTATTTTTCTTCTCTAAAACTTAAGCATTAGAAAATTTAGATGTCAAAATATCAAATTAATTATTGGATTAAAAACTGCTAGAGTAAAAAGTGTTTATAAATCATTTACCCTAATAACTTCAAAAGTTGAAATCAAATTTTTGGTAGTGACATACCTATGATAAAAACCAAGATGAGCCTCATAGTTCTGTTTTAGCCAACAAAAATTAATACCTATTTTCACAATCAGGACTCAGGCTACATCTTTATGTCAGTAAGGATGCATCATAGCTTTTATATTTAGAAATCATAGGAACATACGAAGGATTTTAAGGAAAACAACAATCCTACTTGGTTATCTTCTATTAGTCCTTTGAAATCAAAGCTCTTCTGACTTTTATTTGGCACATGATAGCCACTCAGTTAAGTATTTGTTCAGAGGATGAACATCCATAAATGGGAGGATACTTTTTTTCTTCCTTGTAAATGAAACTGTTAGGATAAAATTTCAAATAAGGCTTTTGTTAAAAATTGCAGATCAGTACACAAAGAGGGGTGGATTTTGCTTTATGTAATTTATACCTAATAAATTATAAATGAATATACTGCTCACTGTTTTAAACTGAACAGAAGCTGAATTTCAGTACACTAATGAGGAAGTTAGAAATGAAACAATTCAGTTCAATTCAAACATCTGAAAAGATGCCCTGATCAAAGACCTCACTCATATGGCAGAATCTCACCAGGAAACTTGGAAGTGACAATGGCCACAGTAATCTTCCTCTTCGAAGGTAGATTCTTGGAGGAATGAACATTTTCCTACTCAGTATTAGAGTACACATGGTTTTGGATAAGTGTATAAAAAAGGCATTAGTAAAACAATCTGCTCTTATCAAGAAAACAAAAAACAAATGCAGAATTTAAGAAACACAAGGCAGAACTTGGTATCAGAGTTGTTAGATAATTTTCTCATGCTATCCTGTTTTGCAATATTAGGTATTTTAGATAGATAGCATTTAGATCAGAGCCCTTAGTGGGTATTTAGATGTTTGGAACATTCTACTTACAATATTGGTATTTTCTATGAACTTTGTCTAGAGTAAATAATGTTGGGCAGCTTAGATTACATTAAGTCAGATGCTGAGGACGATGAGAAAAGCAGGTGTATGCATGCCATCTCAGTCGACGTATTAGCCCATCTTGACACTGGGATACTTTAGAGTCCCAGGACTATACAATCTCATAAGTGGCTCCAGAAAATTCACAGCTACCTCCTATCCTTAAATTGAAACAAAACAGAGACCGGGGTAAGAATATGTTTCTTCAGACTCCCTTTCCACACTTAATATTAAGTGAAATAAGTAATTTTGTTAAGACTTACTAGTCTAGCCTTGTTTTTATTTTATTGAAGAAGAAACATGAAATATGATTAATAACTCCTTTGTGTTTTGTAAAAGCATTTATGAAGGTTTTTGGAATGAAATCTATTTTTGTTTCCTTTCTTTGCTTGCTTGTACATGTGTGAAAGGGAAGTTTCAATGCTCAAAAAGTTTGACGTGTTCTCAACCTCACTCATAGATGAATGCAACTGAGCATATTAGCTAATCAATATTTGACAAGACTCTATCTCCTCTGTTTATCTGTTCTGTTGTTTTTATTTTATTTCCTATGTATAAACTGCTTCTTCAATAAAATGGCATGCTTGTTCATCTTGAGAGTCCTCAAACTGGGAAACTCTTACAAGTTTACATATGGTCTGTGTTTGGTTGGATTCTTGTGGCTGGTTAACTAGCATTTCTGATACCAAATTCTGGCTATGTTTCTTAAATATAAGCTTAATGTATTATTCCCTTTATGGAATGATCACTTTTAAGAGGATCTCCTGTGTAGTGAAGGTTTCAGACTTTTTATTTGGGATTCTGGGATAATATCATCTAAGAGTAATTTGCATAATTTTGGTGGAATCTTCAAAAGGAAAAAAAATAGAAATATGATAGAACACTTGCTTCTAAGTGTTCTTGACAGATGCAGATTATTTAATTTATTCTAAATACCAAAGTCAGAGAGATACGAATGCTGCCTTTTTACCTAAAATGTATTGCCTTAACTGTTCAAATTTAGCTTTAAAGGGAATTTATAGGATGAGCTTCAATGCCAGGTTCTCACTTCCCAAAACAATATTATGTGTAAATTGCATGTACTCAACTTGAGAATTTATATCTTTTAAAAATTTCCCAGAAGTTCATGATAAACTGGCATTTGCAAATATTCCTTTCTAAAATTTTTAATATTCTTTCTCTTTTCTTGCTCATGTTTGGGACTTGCTCATGGTTGCCATGACAAAAAAAAGTCAGTTTTAATAAGCTAGTAGTTAAATGAAAAGTTTAAGGCATCTTAAAAAATTCATTTCAGAATACATATCACATAATTGGCTCTGAAAAAATGGTCAGGTATTGTTTTTCTGTTTGGGAAAATCCACAACTCTTTTAAATGTTAAGATGAAAGCTCTTGGCCAGGACAATCTAAAATCATCTTTTGTTGTCATGCTGTTAGAAGACATGCTCACCATGTTTTGATCTGAGTGAATTGAGATTTTTAGTTCTTAATTTTTTTGCCACAAAACTGGGAAAGAACCACTTTGGAGTTTTCAATGTGCACTTATATTCAGTCATCTAGATTATGGATACATGCAATTAGATCATGATAAACAGGGATGGATTTGTTCTTTTTTTAAGATACTAACAAATATTTCAATAATTTCTGTATCAATACCAAAATGTAGCACATTCATCTGCAATAAACTCAGATGTACGTCTTACTAAAATTATACTTGTTTTTGACTTTAAGGTACATCAAGTACAGAATGTCTCATAAAGGTTCAAAAACTCATTTATGATGCAATCAGAATGAACAGCCTATTCAGGAGGCTGTTATATATAATTTTAGAAAATAACTTTGTGGAGCCCTGATTTTAGAAGAGCAATAACAAGCCCATTCCATCTTATTTTAAAACCACTTCCTATCATTAGAGGAAAGAAGAAGTAGACATTTAGAGTCTGAAAAAAATGACCTCCATGTCCTATATTTCACTGAATGCATACAATTTTTATTGTGACATGATGAGTGATGTGAATAAGTGAGACTGATATGGCTTGTTCAGAAGCAATTGAAATTGAAAACACTTGCATAATAACTCATTGCAATTTTTTTCATTTACTGCCTTCCTCCTATAGAACACATATATTGCCGGAGAATCTGCTGAACTGCCTAAAATGCCTGTTTACCTTAGTCATACTGTGAGCATAAAAGTTGAATCGCATCTAATAAATGTCCATTGTAGTCAAAATTCTGATACCCCTCGCAAAATGCTGACTCTACAACTATTGTTAGAAGAACAAACAGCAGGGATTCCTGTTTTAAAAATATCGAAAGATGGGCAATGTAAAGCAAAGTAGATTAGGAGGTAAAATTCATTGAGTACATACTATGTGCCTTGGAGTTTTATATGTATTATTTCTTTAGGAAAAAATATGACCTTATCAAAAGAAATGAAACTGTCTAGGTTTTGATCATTTGAAACAAGTTTTGCTCTTATTATCAATGCATATCCTATATATGGGCTGTCATAAGGATTTGCCCAGTTTGTGTGCAAGGAAGCCTAGAGCTAATTTCCAATTTCTCTCGAATTTCAGGGAAGTTAGTTACACTGTTGAGATCATTTTGTGGAGCAATTTCAGCTTGTTTTTTGTCTTTCTGACTCTTGCAATGCAGATATCTATTGGCAACATAAAATTTCAAACAGTACATCTGCAGCCAAAGAAAACTGAACCACTTTGCACTCAAATTTCCAAAAATATAAAGCTCTAATTAGAAGCAAGCAATACCACCACTGGACAGACAGTCACAACACCGCGTTCACAGGATGCATCCCCACTCACTGTCATAGGCCCTAAGTCCTACCCCTAAATTTTAATACTTTCGGTTCCATATACGTTGTAACCTTCTCTATAGGTTGCTAAATTCTGGGTATTCTGCGAGGAAGTTGGGTTAAAAGTCTGTGCACTCTTTGCCACCTTCATTCTCTTTGCTTCTGCCCTGGACTTGTAACAGAACTCTATCAAAGCCACCAGCATTGCCAAGCCCAAGCCGCCAACCAGAATGTAGAAGACGCCTGCTACGTTGCTCAGGCTCAAGGCGCTCGTCTTGTCCTAGAGAGGATAAAGACACTTGAGTTAACTGTGGAAATGTCACAGCCCAAGGTAAAAACCAAAACAAAACAAAAGCATGAAATCCAAACAGCCAGTTAAAGTAAATGCTTAATTTAGTCTGAAATTATTTACAAGTATAAGTTAACGATCTAGGTTTATGGTTTTAAGCATAAAGATTATAGCTCCCAGGAGAAGAGAAATTATGATTACCAATAAGTTGTATGCAATTACATCCAATAAAATCTGTAACATTTTATCATTATTAACTATACAGTGAAAACCACTATACTTAGCCATATACAAACACCTATATATTTACATTGGGCAGCAAAAGTAGGTTTATTATAGACATTGAAAATGGCAATGTTTAAAATCCAATTATATGGGAAAGCTCTGCTTCCTTTAAAACAGTTTTTAGTATTTAAGTTTTTTCTTGAATAAATCTAGCTCTATACTTCCTATTTAAGGAGCAAAGGGTCTTTGAGCTAGTAGATTTATATTTTGTTCATCATTACTTTACCAAACATAGAGTATACATCATTTGTTCTTTTAGTTATGTCTATATGGGAAATCTCATGAAAAAAATCACTGTTGCATATTGTATACTATTTAGGAATAATTATACATGCTTAACATTTAAGTAACTACAAGATAACTTTTAGAAATATACAAATTACCATGGTCAATTGAGAAATAAATTATTTATGCATGGAAAATTTTATAATTATTCTATTGACTTAAAAATAATACCATTCCTGTTTAAAAAACCTAATCAGTTAATATTATCAGATATTTTAATTATATCTTATTCTTCAAAGCTTTGCTATATATTACTAAAGTAGTCAAACATTCAGATTCTAGAACTTTTCAAAATTATAAATAGATCTTTTATATAACATTATTCCAAAAGAGTATTTTGGTAGACCACCTGAAGGGTGCTGTATGGTCATCATTTCCTTGGTAATATGTTTATGTAAAATGTGATTCAGATCCTTAAATAGTTTTATTAGGAGAGTGTTTAATTCAAAAGATACAGTATCGATATTGTCATGGTATCAACAGACTGGGCCAAAAATTTTAGGGTAATTTCATTTTGAGTATAATCATTCATTAATTATTTATGCTTCTTTACTTTACGTCAGGGTTTGAGAAAACTGTTTCATTATCTGACTAAGCTTTTCTCATTCCACTCTGGTTCAAAGGCAGACAGACATAATTAAAATATACATGTGAGGCCTGGAAAGGGATCAATTGACCTGACTTTATTCCCTTCTTAAATTAATTGAAGCTCTCCTATTTAACCCAGTCCCTTGTTTAATGGCTGTGAATATTTTTTCTTTCTAGAAGAGGATGCAGGAAAATAAAACAAAAGAGGATTCTAAGAATCTTCAATGATGGCTTTCAGGCATTGTTAACTATATTCGATTAAGATGTGTAGATATTTTGATTCAATAATGAAACTGCTACATTTTTGTTAGACTTAAAATATAACTTGGTACTTACAGAATTAGGCCTATATGTTTTTGCAATTGTTCTAAAAAGAATTTGTGAATGAAAGATTTTAAAATTTGAGAATATTGTTTCTAAACATTGATGTATTGAAGTAATTTCAATTGGGAGAATATAACTGGAAAGTCCATTCTGTTTATTTGTTAGCCCAGAAGTATAACAGAGCCTATGAACTAAAGTGGAATGCTTGTCAATGTGATGACAAACGGTTTAACTTCTGAATAAGCATTTATTTAAAATTTAATATCATTTTTTTTCTGGATGACTACTGATCAGTTTCTCATTTCCCGTTTTGAGAAGTCACCAATTCCTGAAATAATAGATTTCATGGTCTTTGTCTCTGAAACAAAAACTTAACCAAATAAGAAAAACACTTTGTTAGTGGTACGTAAGTTTAAGAGTAATATAAGAAATTTTGTTATTTTATGGGGTTTTTTTTGGAGTTAATTTTAGATTATTTTAAAACCTATACTGGGGAGCAGGTCCCAATTTCCTGAGAAGACAGTCCCTGTGGTTAAACTTGATGGCATTAACTTCTAATTTAGGCAGTGGCTGAGTGTAGTGAGAAATGCTATGTAGTTTTTAAGGTTTCCATATACGTTTGACAACTGCTCCCGTCCACTGTTTGGAACACAAGAAGGAGGCCCGAACTGTAGCCACTGACCTTGCTTCCCGAGTCCTTGGGTCCACATTCACCTTTATCGTACCACCATTTGTTTTTCAGCTTGTCTAAGACGCCTGCCTCACTGAGTTTCAAAACGGCAAGGTTTACAGGAGTTCTTCACGTGGAAAATAACATAAATAACATTATATATGTTATTTTATGTTATTCAAGTAAAACTACATTAGAATCTCATGGCAAAGTGACAGAGCAGAGGCCACAGTAGGCACTATGTCTCGTACTGTAGGCCCAGGTTTAGAATCAGACATAAAACTGGGGCCTGCTCTATCGCTTTAGGTAACAGGCACATACTGCTAGGGAGGAATTTTAAATAAAACGTATGCAATTACTGTGAATCCAAAACTATTGGCCTGGATCGGGTTTCTTGAACATTTACCATTTTTCCCACATAATGTGGCAATCTTTCAAAATCCAGAAGCTGCTTTCTTTTCCCTTTCAAAATTAATGGAAGTGGCTGTAAGTTGGCAGACTTAAAGCTACATAAGACTGGTTTCTATTCTTACATCTGTTATTCAGCTAGTAGGTAGGGTTCTACTTTATGTTATAAACTATGTACAAAGTATCCATCAATAAATTGACTCCATGACCACTTTCATCCAAGACCTGATTCAAACAGGGTGATGTCTTTTGAGTCATTGCAAAAAGGATCCACTCATGCAGAGGAAAGTCCTCATAAGACAAATGCATGAATTGATATTTAAAGTCTAAACTCAGGTTGGTATTTTTCTTCAGAATAGCAATATTTAACCTAAATAATATTACCTGAAGTAATTTTCATCCTACCTTGAGTCTTTGATATTAATATACTCAAAGTACAAGGTAAAGTGACTATAATTACAAATTTGCCAAATGAGAAGTTGGAATAACCAAGATTTTTCTGAGTAGACAAATTTCCCATACTATGAATTGCTTTTTTCTCTTTTCTACCATCTCTGCTTCTTTCAGGACTGTGTAAGGGATCTGTATAAGTATTGTATAAGGGGTCTCAGGAAGGAAGATGTTAGCTATCACCTAGCATCAACATTCAGAGTAATATAAGGATTCTTCCAGCTTTCACTTTCATGCAAAAATATCAGAGCTAAGAAGATGGATGGGAAGCAGTAACTCCCAGTGTCTTGTGTTGTTATTGTTATTGTGTCTGGTTGCTTTTTTGTTTCTTTTTAGCAGAGGCTGGCATTCCTTGACATTTTTAAGGCTGCCATGGCCATTTTGTCTGGCTGTATTGTCTAGTGCCTCACTTTTAGGAAATGTTGAGTACATTTGAGAAGCACAACATGCATTTCTTGGTCACCAGGAGATTAATTCCATAAATCCAGTGGTAAGGCATTTGTAATGATGGTGATAATAAAAGGCAAGCATTTACTGAGCACTTACTATGGACCAGGCATTTTTTGTCTTTACTGCTACCACTCATTTTATAAATGAGGACACCAAGACACAAAGAGGTTATATGGCTAGGCATGACCTGACCTAGAATTTGTGATCACGTACCTTTTCAGCTTATGCAAGTAAAAATACAACAGAAAACTCAGAAAATGGGGTTTCTGATTAAGTTTTCTGGTTAAAAGTTAAACTAAAACCAATTTTTCCCCAGTGAGTTTTTGAAAAATATTTCTAAAATACAAGTTTTTCATTTCATTTATATGGTTTCTGAATACAACTTAAATTTTTTATCAATGTTTAAGATCTTACTATGGCTTAAGATTATTACTCATTTGAGAAGTAATATATATTTGCCATGATCTTTGAGTATTAAATCGTTTGTTGGGGTATTGAAATCAGAAATCAGCACTATTTAACACTCTTTAAAAGCTGAGTTTGGAGACAGGGTAGTTAATTGGGATGCTAAGATTAATTCAACTAATTGAAGTTTTGTTCTCTGAAACTACTCCTCTTTTCCCACACACACACTCCAGTCCTCCCACCAGCATTTCTGAAATGATTGCTACAAAATTCCACCTGTGGGTTGGTTGGTGGACTATGAATCTGTGAGAGCAAAAGGTACATCTCCATTCATCTTTGTAAAATAGTATTTACCAGAGTATCTGACTATAGAGTAGGTGATCTATAAAGTTGTTGCATTTAAATTACTTACAATCCAGAGCAAGATTTTTCTTTGAGTTGATACTCCAAGGGATGTTTTATTTGCTTGTTTTGGGACTTATGCTTACTAGTCCTGAGATCAAGTAATCCTCCTGCTTCAGCCTCCCTGGGTAGTTGGGATTATAAAGGTTTTAGGCCCTCAGGATAGCTGGCAAAGCCTTTGTAAACACTTTTATAGATAAGTTACATTATCTGCATTGCATTTCTTGAATGATGTGGACTGAGAGGAAATCTCAGTGAAAAAGAAAATGAAAGCAGAGTGTCTTCTGCAAGTTTCTTCTAGAAAAGACAATTGAAGGCAAAATAGTGGATTAGATGAGGATTGCCTTTGGTTTATCTCTCTTGATTTTTTGAAAAGAATTCTTTCCCCTACTCCTTTTCTCTTTCCTCTATCCTCTCTGTCCCTTCTGTTTGTCTCTCCAGCAGCTTGGTTTTAGAGGGTAATTTGTTGCTAGCCATATTTAATGTTCACCTGGTGGAACAACAGGCATTGAACAAGGAATCCAAGGGCTGACTTTCTCTGGTGGTTTTCAATCACAGCACTTTTTCCTGTTTATGAATGCATATTTTCTATGCCCTTATTCCTGCAGTGGCTTTCCTGGCAGTGGTAAAGGGGAGCAAGTCTTTGTAAGAACAGAGTATATTAAAGTCAGAAATGGGCTGTATTCGTCCAAGTGCTGAGTCAAAACTCAGGCATTGTGTAATCAAATATAATTTCTACATTATTTGGTCATTATACCTACAAAATGATTTTTATGACTACCTAACCCATGAATGTGCATCTAGTTGTATCTACAGTAAGGTAATAAAGGATAAAATAAATGGAAAACAATAATTTTATAACTATTAAGTACTACGGTGACTGATGGTCATGCCAAAATTTGCAACTAAAACTAAGACTTAACAACTCACACAGATATGAGTATAAAGTTCTGGACATGGTTTGTACTTAAGTAAGCCATACCAGGTTAATCAAAGAGGAAACATGCTTTAGACATTGTAACCCATGTTATTAAGTTGGATTTCTGTCAATGAATACATTTCTGTATTTTATTTAGAAGAATAAGCATTTTTTTTAGGATCATTAAAAAAGACTGAACAGCAATAATACTAACCTTATCAAAGGAGTATTCTCAAACAAATGAATTCATACTCACAAATTATGCCTTTTCACCTATTTTCCCCCACAAGATGTAAGACTTTCACCCTCATATCTTGTATTAACTTCCTATGTCTGAAGATTGCTATGGGGGAACCTTCATAGTGCCGGGAATGGCTGTCAGGTGAGTAAGGATGCTAGTTACTGCATAGTGTGACAAAGAAGCTGCCACAGGGAGGGACGCTGAAGAGTTGGTTACATTAACTCATAAGTGCCTTCAGGCAAAGGCAGTGGGTAATTCTCTTTTCTACACAGGTCCAGATACATTTATTACCCAGTTAAAGCAGAAGTTTAATAATTTTTTGCTGAGTGGAAGCTAAAGATGTATGTGTTTCCCCCCATGCCATCCACCTGTTACAGTCCTGTGAGTGACAGGTCAGTTTGTCTTCTTTTGGGAAACTTTCTTTCCATGTGTGGCACAGGTTTACACTTTTTCCTTTTCACTAGATGAAATCCTGTTAGGAACGTTGGTGCTCTCCTACCAATAAATCGGATAAGCCAGGATTTAGCAGGCTCTTGTGGAGAGCTCTGTGTATTTCTGTGCACACTGAGTTGGCAAGCATCTGTCTCTTCTGCTCTGGCTTTTCACTCAACAAAGGCTTCTGAGCCAGCTGCCTTCCTCAATTCAGTGTTTTTTTTTCCTTATACCTCTTTTGAGGAAGATCAGACCAATGGGAGGGGTGAGGAAAGTTTTAAAAGGGCACCATTCATCTGAAGGAAGTACAAAATGGAATTGAAAAGGCAACAACTATCTCCTGGTTTGGCCATTTAAAATATCAGCTTTTATCATAAATTCAGACTTGGGTATCACTATTTATAATTTAGATTGAAGTAAACTTAATCTCTTGGTGATAAACCCTAGGACAAAATACAACCCACTAAAATATTTTTTTTAAATATGGAAACAAAATTTCCAAGAAAAAATAGAGCACATTGCAATTTCATTTGAGGTGAGCATTTTATGTTAGTTTTAAGTTACATTTCAGAAAGCTAACATTTTGGAAAGTTTTGGAAAGGCTTGAAATAGCTTTTTAGAATATCATTTTCCTAGTTCATGCTTGTGAAAGTAACATACTGTATACCCGACAGAATAAGCAGTTTGATTTTGGAAATGATAAATTAGGTTCACACTTATTCTTTATGATGAACAGTGTGTTGTATACAAGCTGGTTAAATCTGACTGAGTTGTCTGATCCCTCATTTAAATAAAATACAATGACTTTTGTTACACAGTTTTTCCCAATATATGTGGATTTCCGTTAATGTTTATTTAGTCTTCTCTGGAAAATCTCTAATGTACATTAAAAATGTGATGTTTGTTATTTTTGCCTGTAAGGCAAGCATGGTTATACTTTTATGTTACATTATATATTATATATATTTTATATTATGCTATATTCTAATGTAATAGACTATATATATCTTCTGATATTTCTAACTTGCATGTAGGAATAGTAGATTATTAGTGTAAACTGGAATTTTTTTTCTCCATCTGTTACTTATAATTGTTTATATGCTTATGGAAACTATCAGAAAATTCTAGGTGAATTGAAGCCCAAGCTATAAAATGAGTTGATACTCCCTATAATGGTGCCTTGGTTAGAATGTGGTTTGTCTTGGCCAAAATTCAAGTTGAGACTTAACTTCCCAATCTAATAATCTTGAGGTGGTGGCAGCTTGGGGTCATGAGGGATTTGCTCTCATGAATGGATTAATGCTTTTCTTGAGAAATTGTTTTAGTTTTCTCAAGACTAGATTAGGTCTTGATGGACTGGATTGGTTTCACAAGCACAGGATGTTATAGAAGTCCAAACATTCTTCACTATCTTGCTTCCTCTCTTACTGCTTCTCTCTCTCTCTCTCTCTCTGTGTTCCTCTTTCCCCCTCCTCTGCCACATGGTGCCATATGTCATTATGCAACATCCAGAGAGTACTCACTCATGCTTTTGGACTTTCTACCCACCAGAATCATGCACCAAATAAATGTCTTTTCTTTGCATATTACCCAGCATCAGTATTTTGTTATAGCAACACAAAACAGATTAAGATAGATTGTGCCTAAAATATAAGCAAAATTTACTTCCTTTTCCTGCAGTAGGGTTGGTTATGAGATGGGAACATATTAGTGAACTCAATTTGAAAGACTTTTTAGAAATGGGTTGGAAGAGTTAATGGTAGACATCTTGTCAGGTACTCCCTCTAAATAGAGTTGTTCTGTGGATTTAGGTGGTCACATGAGAAAACTTGTAGACCAATGAGGAACCTGAAGATATGCAGGATTTATGTTTATGGACAACTTTCTGATGTGAAAATCTGTATTTTTAAATATGTACTTTAAATGTTTCATTATTTTTACTCAATTGAATGTAGTTCCTCATTCTAAATTTTCCCATCTAGTGACTGTTTTCTTTAAGTTTACAAACACTGACATATATGAGGAAGAGTTTTGGGACTCCATCTGGCAAATTTATAAATTGTATGCTTTTTAAAAAAAACTTCCTAGCAATGAAATAAAAGGTATTATTTTATGAAACTGAAAATATGACCAGTGAGGTAAAAACAAAGGTCTTTATTTGTTTTTTTTGGTAGACTGATCATTTTGTAATCTATCCATAAATATTTGAAAGCAAAGTGCGTAATTTGCATAACTATCTTTGAGTTGTTCTTTAACTTTAATGAGAGCGTGTGAAAGTTTGTATGGAATAAACCTTCTGGTTAGACTCTCTAAACAGGTCTAAGTGGAGTCAGATTATTGCTGTTACTTAGAAGTATTTGGCAGAAGTTCTGGCCAAGTGATGATGAAGAAAACAGGTCAGACTTACCCTCACTATTTTCTCTCCTCTCTTCACTAAGTTATTCTTTCAGAAACTTAATATCCCTTCTTGCTTTCCAAACGAAGGTTCATAGGATTACAGTGTCCGATCAAATCCAGAGCTTCTCAGTGACTGCTGCCATCAGATTTGTTAGTGTGTAATCAAATCGACCACAGCTGCAAATATTTTTGCCTTGACAGTAATTGCATGCTTAAGTTTATAAGGGACTTGTTTCCCATCGGTCCAAACCATCAGTCTCCCAGCAGATGCACTTATTACTCTACATGCTGTTTACCCGCTTTTGGTGACATTGAGGCTGACCTTGGAGTCACCTCCCCCGCTGCCACATTCTCCTTTGTCGTACCACCATTTGTTTTTCAATTTGTCCAAGAGGCCTTGTTCATTCAGTTTTAAAACTGCGAGGTTAACAGCATTTCTTGAAACGATAAAACATATTTTGTAAGAAACTGCACAGCTGTTAAGATGTTAGAAGGAATGGGACTTAAGCTCTTTTATAAGCTTCTCCCAGACGCTAAATAAACCTCTCATTTTGCCATCTTCCAGCTCCTTCCACCAGAGTTCAAACCAAAGGCAACTGTAACTAATTTCCAATATATTAAACATGTAGCATTGGGTGCTGTTTATTTTTCATAGTTCGCTCATTATTAAGTAACTGATCTTATCATCCACCAATTACACCAATTCTCTTTTGCAAAGCAGTAATAAACTTGAATTTACTAGTAATTGTGAAAGAGTTGTGTCTTGACTTCCTTTGCCTCTAAGAATGTCAATGACCCAAAGGAGACTGAAATGAAAATTCATTCCCTGAAGGAAAAATAAATGGGATGACCAGACCAACAAACCAACCGTTAATTTTGTGTACTGATTTCCTGACAACAAAGAGTATAGCTTAATTATTATTCTCTTTCTGATTTGTGTGGGTTTAGCTTGATTTAGTTGGTCTCAGAATGTAGGATTTCCAGGTTGGTTCAGTTTCATGTGTTACAAGTGAATGGGACAAACTTTCTTGTAGGATCTCTGGACAGAGACAGTAGCAGCTCTTGGGGATAAGTGCATATATCTAAATTTTGTGTTAATTTTTAAAGGCATTGGATATTTTTTAGAAATTAGGATCACACATCCAATTTGCAATTAAGTAATTAAACCCCAGGAAGTTAGGCTACATGTGATGTGGACTTTGCGAACACTCTAGATTAGATTTGCTTCATGTTTATCTCTATAGGGAAATAAGGGCAATATTTTCTAATTATTCTCTAAGAGGATTTTAAAAAAAAGTTATGATAGACTTTTGCCTCCCACACATTTGGTTTCCATCCTGCTTTCCAGTTATAGTTTTGTCATGAACCACTAACTCTTTGAAGAGGATTTTCTAGCATTTGATGAAATTTCTGTGAAATCTAGGGAGGGAATGGCTTATGTACTGAAGAAATTTGGGTACAGTTGGTGCTGTGCTCTTTGAGAAACACTGAATTTGGTGATCACTTAATGGCGAATGACAGATAAAATAACTATATAAAGAAATAGCATGCTTTGCAAAGTAAAATGTCATTTAGCAGACTAACAAAAACTGTGGGGTGTTTTCCCACTATGCAGCCTGTTAAAGTGTTCATTCTCTTAAGAGTATGTTCGTGATATTCAAGTGAATGATGTGCTTTTCCACTGATGTGCTGGCGTCTAAGAGTAAACGCTCCCCATGAGTAGAGCACACACTTGGGGAGAAGAGTCAGACTGCCATTTGCTAAATCCTAATGAAATAATTAGCAGTCCCCACATTCGCAAGCCAGTGCCACTTCAGTGGTGTAAAATAATTAATACATTTCCTAAGTTGAACAGTAGCAGGGGGCCAGTTTAATCACCAAAAGGACCAAATTAAAATGAAGGCATAAATAAACATTTAGTGAAGGTAGAAACATCAATTAAAAAAATTCTGCTGGGAAGAAAGAATTCTTTTAATTTGCTTTCTGTTTACAAGGAGCTAATGTCATTTTTTAAGACAATCTTTCTATGGAGCCCACTCTGGCCTGAAATTTGGTATTCCTTCCTCAGCCTCCCAAGGGCTGGGATTACAGCTGTGGACCACCACTCCTGGCTCATAAATTTGTCTCTCAATGAGTTAAAACTAGCCACTAAATTTTTTTTTGGAGAAAATTGTTCTTATAATTTACTTTATTTTAGATTTAGGCATTCATATTCATTTTTTAAAATGAATTAGTACCCAATTATTTTATATGTTGGTTTAGACCATTCCTTTGATAAAACTGAAACCATTTCATGAGAGGGTTATTTAACAGGGTTATTAGCCAAATCCAAAGACAGTTTCACAGCACAAGAGAAAACAAAAAAAGCAAAATAAAGGAATGGATAAGGAAAAAAAGTGGTATGCTGAGAAAAATTGCTTAGAATCATCAAGCTTTCTCCAAAATCGTTTGAGGTTATTGTCTTTCTAATACCATCTAATAGGCCATGTAAAAACAGTTTAGTTTCACACTGCTACCCATACTTGTATACGTATATCTACATCTGATTAATATGATACATTTGATCAATAGATAAATCACTGCCCAGTTCAGTTAATCCACATGCCTCCTATTAGAAACCTGTGGCTCCTCAGTAAAACCCATTTCATACCATCATATATGAAGTTTACTTTTCTTTAATGATACTACACAGAAGGCACTAGAAATTAATATTTGGAGATAGATTTTAGTATTTCAAGATTTATTTGCATGTTAAAAGTGCAGGTTACTTTCTACTACTGTCTGATTAAAGACCTAACTTCCTTATACAGTAAATTTATGTCTACAAGCCTTCTTGGATTGCTATTTAAACTACAGCATAACTACACATAGATGGACCATTTGTAATCAGTTCTATTTTATGAAATGAATTATTTCTTATGCTTCTAATAATGAGACCCATAAAATGCCTTTTAAAAATGTATAAAGTTGCTTCACTCATTTTACTAGGCTAGGTTAAAAAGTACTTTTTATTCAGCTAAACTGAGAAAGGTATCCTTAAGGAATAGTAGTGAGCTAGGCTAAGGAATCATAAGAAGTTGGGTAAACTAGGAATGTAGAAAGCAGATCCTTGCTATAGCACATTTTATCATTGCTTTGTAATCTCTATATATACATTCCAGATATTGACCTCAAAATCAATATCAGAAACTCATATGAATAGTGAGGAACATTTTTGCCCTAATTAAGCATCAAAGCAGCCATAATAGTGATCTTCCAAGCAGAAAAGAGAGAGAAGGAGGAAGCAGAAAAGAGAGAGAAGGAGGAAGCAGAAAAGAGAGAGAAGGAGGAAGCAGAAAAGAGAGAGAGAAGCAGAAAAGAGAGAGAAGGAGGAAAATATTGTGGGATATTTCTTTTGTTAATTATTCCTTATATTGTACTAAATGCAGTCTTTATAGAATAAAGTTGATTGAAATGGAATGCTTCCCATTTAAAAATGGAAACAAAGAAACAATAAGTATCCACATTTTCCCTGAGTACAAACCATGTAGGAGAACCCAGGTGTGTTGATAGTGACCTTCTATAGATCAAATAGGACCTAGGTAATTTAATAATTTGCCTTTCACTTTTATGCCTCACCAGAAGTCTAGCTAAGAAAAATTTCTTCCCCAAAAATCTTATTTCCTGATGGTGAGATACAGGAGTCTTGACTCTGGGCTGAGAGAACAATATCCACCTGCTCAAATTCCAGGACTTCTGGAATACTTCCAAGCGTTTTTATCCCTGGAATTTTGTTCCATCCAGTTTAGGATTATGAAAATACAACTAATTGCTCTAGAACTTGGGACCCCGTTTTTTTAGACATGTAGTTGAAATGCCACATTAAAAAAAGCTTTAGAACAGGAGTTAGTCGATATAAACTTCTTCCATTTATTAATATTGGGTAAATTAAAATAATGCAATCTGCATTTTTCTTGTAAAAATATGCTTAATCAGGCTAATGACTTATCTTCAAATTCTATAAATTTATGTTGTTCTTACTTTACGCCTTATGCATATACTTATTTCTAAGAAATATTTTAGTATAATTTCTCTGTTAATGAGGTATGAATATCTAACTAAATAAATGGGGCTACCTAAATAAAGCTCCAGTTCGGTAAAGTACTTTTATGATTTCCTGGATTTGTGACTATTACTGTGAAGGGTTGATAATACAAGCTCTTAATTTAGTTCAATGCCTGTCCCAAGGATATTCAGGGCACAGATACTTTGTAGATTAAATACTTTGCAATAATATTTTTAGTTTGGCTGAAACGAATTCAGTTCCATTTTACTTAACAGAACAAACATTTCATAATTGGCTATGATGCCAGCAGTGTATGGGCCCAATACATTTTTTTCTCTTAATGCTGTGTAGTGGTGCCAATGGTTTGTGGTCCTGCTAAAGATGGATCCCTTAGTTATCCATACATGTAAAAAAAAAAAAAAAAAAAACCATCTCCTTGGTTTTAACCTGTGCTCTCTTCACTGGAGTGTTTGCTTCATGCCATATACTCAATAAAATTTAAATGCTAGGTGTTACAATGTCTGGAATATTCATCTAAATGAGGCTGGGATCTTTTTTCATAGACAGAACAAGTCCTTATCTATTGTTCTTAAAGTTTTAAAATATGTGAACTAACAAGAAATCATTTAAATAAAGAAGAAAATTCCTTCAAAGTCAGCAAAAATATTTTAAGAAAAGTGATTTTAAGCAAAGATAATTTATGCAGGAGTAAATACGAAATAATATTTAAAAATTCAGCCTTACTTGAAACTAAACCGGTGAATCAGGTGATACAAATTCAGTTTTCTTCATTAATTTTGGAAAAGATAAAATTAAGATGATGTTCATATAGTGAAGGATTTAATAAGATGGGCATTTTCTACACTGGTGTTTGAATTAAAAGCTAGAAAGAAAATACTTTGCCTTTACACAACAAAAGCTGTAAAAGACTTGATTTGATAATTACACTTTGAGTACTCAATCCTAAGAAGTTAGTTGAAGATGTTGACAAAGTAACTTATGATAAATCTCATAGTACGATTATACATTGAAAGACATAAGACAATCTATATGTCCAAAAGAAAGACACCACTGGAGTGTCAGAACACAGACACTCAGATTTAACCTTGCCCTATCCTTTTCTTCTGGATTAGGTATAGTGAATCTTCAGTTCTACAAAGCTCCTGAGGTATTAGTATTGATAAGCTTCAATAATCCATATGACTCTGTTTTACAACCATTAATAATTGTAATGACAAGGGAAAATGCTTACAGTATAATGTAAGTGAAAAGATGAACTAAATTTGCATGTTCTTTGTGATCTTAGTCTGACAACACACTATACATGTATTTAATGTAAAGGAAAATATTTGATGAAATGACAATAAGTGGCTATCTTTGAGTAAAGAGATT